CCAGCTGATCAAGGGAGGGGATTGTCTCGCTCAGCTCTGCACTGGTGCAGCCTCACCTTGAATATTGTGTGATGTTTTAGTCACTGCAATATAAGGAAGATATTAGCTATTAGGGAGTGTCCAAAGGAGGGCAAGAAAGATGTTGAAGGACCTTGACAGGAAGCTGCAGGAGGAGTGGCTGAGGTCACTTGATCTGTTCAGCCTGGAGAAGAGGAGACTAAGAGGACACCTCATTGCAGTTACAACTTCCTTCTGAGGAATGGCCTGGAGTTGTTTCAGGGGAGGTTTAGGTTGTATATTAGGAAAAGGTTCTTCCCCCAGAGAGTGTTTCGGCACTGAAACAGGCTCCCCAGGGAAGTGGTCACAATGCCAAGTCCGACAAATTTCAAGGAGTGTTTGGATGATACTCTAAATCACATGGTGTGACTCTTGGGGATGATCCTGGGCAGGGCCAGGAGTTGGACTCAATGATTCTTGTGGATCCCTTCCAACTCAGCATATTCTGTGGTTCTGTGATTCAGGCAGTTAGTACCTCATCCAACTGATGGATTACAGCACTTGTGTAAACATGGGATTACATTTTTTCGTGTATATTCTTTGAGATCTTTTGAGTAATTTGAAAATATTTCAGAATTTTTAAGGATAATATTGGTATCCCTTAGAAAGAATCATTTGCTACATTCACAAATGGGGGTAACCATACATGTGTTTGTATAAATACATTGATATATGTACATCTATGTGCATATATATGTTGTATATATACGTGTAGCATAAAAGTTACATATGAGGTAGTACATTCGAGGTGACTTTGAAAGCCCTACTTTGGCAAAACTGTTTCTAAGAACAGGAGAGAACTTAAGAAGGTTAATTCTCCACCTAAGTTTGAGGTGCATAAATTCAAGCACTGTCCACATTTTGGGCCATAAAATTCCCATTTTTCCTATGATTAGGTGACCAATACATATGCTCTTTCATGATTCAGATCTAAAGTGGAGAAACACCTGAAATCTACTGGGCAGCCTGAGCAAGACTCAACTTTTCATGCTAGAGAAAACCTCACACACACACACACGGGACCAATTTCAGCACTAAACACAGCAACCACAAACATACTGTTTAAGAACTCAGACAGCACTCTTTTTGGTGCCCACAGTTTGGCATAGTGTTCTTCTGGTTAGTTATACTCGTTGCAGAGAAAGCTGGAGATCCATTTTCAGCATCCTCCTGTCCTCAAAACAGACCTAAGTACTCAACATGTTCTTGTCCAAAATAAGCTATGTATAGGTCTTGCATGAATTGCTTAAGTTTCATGGGGGAGTGGAGATGAAAGAGAATCAGACTTATCCTCACCATTTGCTATTGGCACAGTAAAGGAGGTTCCCATTGAGAATTTTGTGACTTGGATTGCCTTTTGGAAATATCTCCACTGACTGTAAGCAGAACTGATGTGGTTAATTTCACATCATGCTTTTAGAGCAGTTGGTCTGTGATGTCTAAATCAGACACAAAAATTAAGGCACGAAAATCTGTCCCTTTGGGCACTAGTTTAGAAGAAGAACCAAACTTCTTGAAAACGACTCATCTGAGTTTGCTTCTGACCTCATGTTTTCATTTTAGGGTAAAAAATAAATTCTGTATACATTTTCTGGACTTTATGCAGGAGGATTAGGATGCAAATATATACTTAGGATGCATATAAGTAATCTAATATATTATAGGTTCACTAAACTAACTAAACTGTAATAAATCATGATATCATGATCTTTAAGATTAAATGAAAAAATCAACACGTTCAAATATTCAGGTCTCCACATTGCAGGCAATCAAAATAAGTTATGAGACTGGCATTAGAAGCAATTACTTTCTGAGAATCTTGTTGTGAAAAATATTATAGAGACGTTTCTGGTTTAGTGTAAAACCCAAACTTAGGTTTTAGTTATTTGCAAAAGAAATCATGCAGTGTGTGTCCTCTGTGGTTCTCATTGAGGAACAGCTTCCCTTCCCAACACCTCCATCAACTGTGCTTCTGTGACTACCCTTTTCCCCTCAGTAACCCAGAACCTGTCTATCAGCTTCCAGGAAGACACTGCTACAACCACCTGTACGAGCAGCTTTGGAATAGGACTTTTTAATATGAGAAAATCCATTTCCCCATCACTGAGATTGATGGGAAGCTTTAGGAAAATTTTTGTCTTAGAATACTGTACAAACACAGCTTTCTATGTATGCATGGGTTTGCATATCCTCTTATTCTTAAAAACTGTGGAAAAAATCAACAAAAACTAAAAGCATCTCTTCAAAAGCAAAGATTAGCTTCAGCTTCATTCTTCAGTAATTTTAACTAATACAGCTGTTGTTTTTTATATAGTCTTGGAACACTTTTGATGTTTCACACCTTTCACTACAAGAAAGACACTGAGGTGCTGGAGTGAGTCCAGAGAATAGGACAATAAAGCTGGTGAAGGGTCTATAGTTTAAGTCCTACGAGGAGCAGCTGAGGGAGCTGGGGTTCTTTAGCTTGCAGAAAAGGAGGCTGAGGAGAGACCTTACCACTCTCTACAACTACCTGACAGGAGGGTGGAACACGGTGGGAGTCCATCTCTTCTCCCAGGCAACCAGTGACAGGATGAGAGGACACAACCTCAACCTGTGCCAGGGAAGGTTCAGGTTGAACACCAGGAAGAATTTCTTCATAGAAAGGATTATTAAGCATTGGAATGGTGTCATGGTTTGAGATAGCCCCAAAATCCAATTCCCTTGCTCCATCCCCCCTCCCACACCTCAACCCAATGTGAGATGGGTTTTTCCAGACAAAACACAGCCAGACTCAGAATGGGGGAAAGGGAATATATTACAATGACTGTACAGATAAATACTATAACACATTATACACACGATCACAACTATCTCTACCATGACATATAGTATTTACAATGGATCAGATCTCTTCTCCCCTCCAAATAAAAGTCCAGGAGGGAAAGAAGGACAGATCCTTTCCAGTCTCTCAGGGCGGCAGCTTCTTCTAAGGCAGCAGGTTCTCCTCATCTCATGCATGCAGCAGTAACTGGATTGTTGTAGCTGGATCTCTGTTCAATACACACAAGGGGGTCTCCAAGCCCCTTGGCCCGTCGTCTCCAAAACAAGGGTCTTTCTTTTCCATGGACTGCGTAGCAGGGACAAGCTCGCGTCACCACGTCATACCACGAAGCTCAGGGGTCTTCGTGGCAGTCCCTTTCCTCAGGGGATTCAAATTCCCCTTTGCAGAGCTCTGTGCTCTGTCTCAAGGCTGCTGGCTTAGCAGCAGCAGCGAGGGGGGCCAAGGTCAACCCCCCCGCATTCCTTCTCCGTCCCGGTCCAGCTTCCCAGGACGCCTTTGAGCTTCTCAGCTCCTCTCTGCAAGTGCTGTAGCACTCCAAGGCTCTTTCAAGCAAGAGTCCATCATCTTCCTCCTTCCAGGAGGTCTCAAGGAGTTTAGGGGGTTTGGTACAGTTCCTACCCCCAGAACTCTGAAGGTGTGCTGCAGGCTCTCTTGTCCTCAACTCTCCTTCCAGGAGTCTTCTCTGCGGTGCTGCATGTCTCTGTTGCTCCGTCTTATCTCTTCTGGCTCTCTGCCACCGCTTCTCAGGTCAGTGCCAGCTTGGCTGCTGCTTTCTCCGGCCACTGCCCAGCTTGGAGAAAACATCTCCCAGCTCACAACTACAGGTACCTAGCCCAGCTGTATGCTGTTCCAGGTCCCTGTCCTGTAGCCCCCATCTGGGGCTGGGGGGCCCCAGAGGCCCCGAGGGGCTCCGGGCCCCTTTTCCTCGTGGCTCCTACAGCAATGGCTACTTCTTCTACCACTCCCTACCAAACTACAACCCCTTCTCTTCCGGTGCTTGTGATATGTTTACATTTCTGCAGGAGCGCTAATTGGGCAGAACTTCAAAACTTCCAGGGGTCTCCACCTCTGGGGGTTACCACTTTTCAGCCTCTGGGGGAAAACAAGGTTCAAACCACTACAAATGGACTGCCCATGGGAGTGGTGGAGTCACCATCCCTGGAGGTAGAAAGACTGGACATAGTGCCATGGTCAATTTGACAAGGTGGGGCTCAGTAAAAGGTTAGACTCGGTGATTTTAGAGGTCTTTTCCAACCTAAATGATTCTCTGATTTCAAGAATTGTGGAATATTATCAATCAGTCATCTATAAGAGAAAAATATTTAGGTGTAGGCAGAAAGCTCCATCCTCATTCTACTTTCGAGGAATTAATGGGATTAACTGCACAGGTTATAAGTGCTTCCAAAGAAAATGGAATATGTGAAGACCTTTATCAGGAAAGCACACCTTTAAACTTCTAGAGGAGGTAATTAAACTTCTAGAGGAGACCTATAATTAGCAAAATTTGTCCTATTCATCTATTATAAATTGCTTAAGGCATTGTCTTAATGCATGAAACCTTTGCATTTCAATACCTTCAGTGATTCTTTACTTCAGGCTTTTCAGTAAAAGTTATGGGTTGCTTCTATAGATTTAAAACTAATACTGATGATTTTGACCCAAAATGCAAGTCCTTTCCTAATTAATTGGAAAATCAGAGTTCTTATAACAATTAAATAACTAATGTGTTTTGAACTTGGATCCTAAGATCATGTCAATTAATTAATTGTTTGTGTGATAGTTGCAAAACACAGAAGGAACGTGATCTTTTAAGGTAAAATCATGTTTTGTTTAATATATAACACTGTATCTGCATTTTATGATTACTTAATAACTCTATGCATATCCAAAAGTAGCAACATTTTAAGCAGCTACAAATGCAAAATTATTATTTTAACCTAGACATTACTTATACAGAATATTGGTTTAATTTCATTAATTTCAGCAGAGCTCAGTCGGAAATATATTTAGCCATGTATTATTTTTTATTCAAGTCTTTTCAACTTGAAACTGTTCAGTTCTTTGACAATCTGTGTGATATGGTGGGTGTTTTTCCTTTTTTTTTGCTCGACTTTTCAAGGAAAGTACAGGAAACTGTAAATGTGTCATTTGCCAATCCATTGTACAAAGACCTTAGTTCATCTGAGAAAGTAAAGGTAAGTAGCAATAACTGCTTCTATGCATTCAGAAAAGTATGAGTTTGTAGTCCTCAAATAGTTTTCCATTGAAACAAACAATGTAATACTTCAGTGAATGTTATTTAATAAAAGAAGTGAGAATTAAAAATTAACGCAGCTCTCACTGCATTTTTAAAATGTAGGAAGATTTGAAATCAGCTCAGTTTTGAAAGCATCTCAATATTTATAACTTTTATGACTGTGGGCTGTTGATTCAGAGAGAAAAAAAAAAAGAGTTTTGGATGAAATATTTAGCCACACACAGATAAGAAAAAGCTCACTGGGACTTGTCTCCTTTTGCTTTGGAAAAAACAACAAACAAACAAACAACAACAAAACAAAAAAAACCCACCCAAAAAAGCAAACACCCAACAACAGTAACACACCAACAACAATAAACCCACAAAATGCATGATTCGGCATCCAAGCTGCCTTTACGCACTCACTATAATAAACCAGTTTATAATACTTCCCAGTACCTTAAATGTGCATCACAATTCCCATCACTGTAAAATTCATGTTGACACTGAACAAACACTTGGTCACACATTTGCCTAATATATTTTGTTGATCATAATTAAAAGACTGCTAGAGTAACAAAGAAGTTTTTAAATAAAATATATATCTAAAAGTGAACATACTGCAGCAAAAGATTTCAAGGTAAGATTTAATTATCAAATTACAACATCTAAAATTTATGGGTTTACATTTAACAAGAGAAATATGATTCACTTAAAATGCAGATATCTGCAATACTCTTGTTTATATTTTTGTTTATAATTAAAAATAAAATAGACAAAGCACCCTGGTGTAAAAAGCAGAAAAAAAATATTTAAAAGATCCTTCCTGCCCTCATTTTGTTACTACTCCTATTAGCACTGAAAGAACTAGGCTTGGTTTAAAATAGAAAATAAAACTTCCTAGTCCTTTGCACAGTCAATAATATAAGATTCCACTGTGGCTTTGAATAGGATTAACTATGACATGCCATTTACTTTCTATAAAAGGGTCTTTACACCTGATTTTAGACATTAGATCAAACGAATTCACTTATAGGTTGGAGTTTGTAAGAGCTCCAAGTTGGAAACATTCCCAATCATGTCCAACATTCACAATCATGTCCAATTTATCAAGACATTTTTATTTTAGTTAAAATAGATTCCTGACAGGCTTCATTTAATAGCAAGTTGAAAAACAGAAGCATAGCATCAGGAGAGACATTTTCATGGAAGATAGCCCCAGGCATTGTGATTGAAGTCCTGTTCTGTACCAAATTGTCCTCTATTTTCCTTAAAACTGGAAAAATACATGCTTACACTAATTTTTCTTTTTGAAAGGAAAACAGGAGTTATGGATTTTCTCCAGGTGTATCACCAATCAAAAGATATGACAAAACATGAGCAAAAGCTCTTATCTCCAGCTGAATATCCACAAGTTATGCACTTGTGGGAGTCTCTGAGTTTCATAAAGAATAAACAATTCTCCTGGACTTTTCTGAACACCAAAACCATGTGGGCTTAGCACTGCCACACTCTTGCCTATAGTATTGCTGCATAATTTTGAATCCAAAGAATGTGTTATTCAGGCAGCAACACTGAAAAATATTTTCAGAATATTATTTGCAGCTCACTAAAAATATTCTGAAGCAGTTTTTTTCTTTTTATAGTCTTCTGGGTATGCCGCCTCACCTGCTGTTCAAATCAGTGTTTCACCATGGCATGAGGTATGTAATAACACATTTTTAGGTTATATGTTGGGCTAGTAAATGAAATTCATCTTCAGAGGAAAGGGGAAAATGTCAGTTAAAGTCAATGGTGTATTGTTACTCATAATGTTAGCAACTCTGGAAATCGGAGAAAGATGACCAGGGTTGCCTTGGTTGGCAAGGACCTCATAATAGCAATTTTAATTATTTTGCTTATCATAGCTGCTTTTACAACACACAGTAGTTCAATGTGTTCCAATACAGGCAGATGCTAAATAAAATTTTTAGAACAACTGAAATCCTTGCACAAAGGGTTCATAATATCTCTTTTCTCATACATTCCCCATTCAAGAATATTAGAACCAGTTATTTAAATTACAATACCATTTACCAAAATTAGTGACCCACTGCAACTACACTATTGTACATAGATTCTCCTAAAATAATACTATATGTCTATTAGAGCAAGGGCTTAGGAGACAGGAAAAAAAATTGGAAACAGATGCAGAAGAAGGTTAAATTACTTGATCAGGTATATGTGGCAGACAATTTTTTCAGTGGAGCTATGCTAATTTTTATCAACTGAATGTTTCGTCTAAAAAAGTTTATTAATTTCATAGTTTTCTTTGAACTTATCATCATATATTACCTCTATCATGAATCTACAGCCATTCATATGTGCATTTTAACAAATGAATTGAATGACTTGGATTTTAAATTTCATTCTGTCTTTTTTATTTTAGTATCTGTTTAATGAAAATGTGAATGCTACTTCTTTTCCAAATCCTCTCTATGGTGTAGCATCAGAAGACATGGAGAAATTATGTAGTTCCTTGAAAACATAAACCAGGATCAATATTGATGGTAACTCTTTGCCTGAAGATTTTTTCTAAAATTTGAAAGTATGTCATGATACTGTAGTGTTTGCAATATGAATGAATAACCCTTCATAGAAAAATTCTCTTATTAAAACAATTGTGTTCAGAAAATAACTTTATATTAAAAATGGAATCCATACATAAGTAAAACATAATTACATATAGTCTTCTGTCATTTCTGTTGGTGGAGAAAGAGATTGATAATTATAACTGTGAATTCATTTTACATTTGTGCATTTTAAATTCCAGTATGTTAATAAAATGTTTAATCAAATCCAGATTCTTGAGGTTTCTGTAAATATTTCTGTAATTTTACATTAGAAAGGGATTTTAACTGACTCTTTTAATGTTCCAAGAAGCAGAAACAAAAGAAAAGTCTTTGTATAATTAAAAACATATCAAGCTAAATCACCAGTGGTCATGAACGATGGATTTGCATATCAGCTCATCATGTGATTCATTAGTGTGACATACCAGTACATAAATTTATTTAAAAATATATATGTTTATTATTAACCTTGATAACTATATCTGACCAAATTTCCCTCTGGTCAGCTCTGCAGTTCTGCAGTTCTTACCACAGTGCTACCAATAAATTTAGCTTAGTGGTTGACAGAGGGTGGAAACTAGCATGTTTAGGAAACCATATTTCTGCTGAGTAGGTTGGCCTCCCACACAGCTGAAACTTATGTTGGCTCGTGCCTACATGAGAAAGATATTGGGAAGGAATTCTGGATTGCCTTGTGATTTTGATTGTCATCGTCCATGGTACCAGGCATATCTTGTAACATGTTTACACTTTAAATAACCTGACAATTTGTCATCTTCTATAATGCCCACTTGCATTATAAGATCATCATTTTTAGCTTGAAGGCTTAAGTGTTCCTGCTGTGCTTGTGTTTTCTTCCCATACTGTATTTCTACAGTGTGCGTAATTTTAAACCCACTGGCATGTTTCAAAGTTACTAAACTCCTACAAATTTCATAAAAACAGACATCAGCACAGTAGATGGTATCTCTTCATTCAGGGAAAGCTGAATTGCTTGACATTTATTAAACTTTTGAGACTCCAGATAGAAAAGCACATTACAGTTTGGCTTCATTCCATCATGCACAGGACTTACTGGTTTTGGTTTGAGTTTGGTTTGGTTTTCTTTCACTTTTTCTTCATAGCATAACCATAGTCTATATCTTTCAATATATCTATATATCTTTGTACTTTGGGCCACAAAACTACTTTTAACTTATTCTTTATAGTCTGATTGACATGTTGTTTCACTGGTAGCTGAATCAACAAAGCATGATGTTTGCCCATCTCCCACCTTTTCAGCATTATGCTCATAAGTTCATCTCTGCTGCATTGTAAAACCTTATGTTTCACTTTCCTCTATCTTCTGTTATACACTGTAGTATCCTCAGTTCTTGCCCAAACTCCACAGCCCACTCAAAAACCTTGTCTTTTGAGCTTGTTTCCTTAATATGTTCTAACTACAAACTGAAAAAGAAGCATCAATCACTGTAGGCCCAGAGCTATCTGTGTGCTGATCAGCTGCTGCACATGTGGCTGCTTGACTGGTTGGCAGCACAGGTGACAAACTCTCGCTGCAACAGCTCCTTCTCTGTGTCCTGAATTTGTGTGGCTGTCATCTGCACCACTGCTGCTTTAATGAAGCCACTTGAAGCTTCACGTCTTTTCTACACCCACCTGTCCTAATGCCAAGTTTAGCTGAAAGTTACCAAGTGTTATTCATTAAGGTTTTAAATAAGGAGCTGTGACAAGAGCTGTTTGCTTTCCTTCTCACATGCTGTTTTCTTTCTGAAACAGAAACACAGAATTTTCTTACTGTACTTGTACCAATTAAGACACAGAGAATACACTTGGTCCAGCAAAGTGCCAAGTACCTCCAGCTCCTGAACTCTAGAATTTTGATAAATCTCTGGGAGATGATTGATCTCCATGTTATAAACAGGCATTGAACATTCCTACAAGGTCAAGCCTATGTACTCAAATTGTCATCTATTCTGCAACAGACTAGCACTGCTTGCAGAATTTCATTAAACACTAAAATGCTGGTTATGCTATAGTTCTTAAATCTTCATTCATTGTGTCACACTATTTATATCTGTAAAAAAATACAATAATGCAAAGGATAAGATCAATAATGGTAGAACTTGATCACATTCTCCCTTATGAACCACAACATATTTAATTTACTAGTAACAGTACTGGTATTTTAATGTCCCAAATAAAAGCATATGATTATAAAGAATTATTGTAAAAGAACTCAAATAACATCGTATTACTCATCAGTAATTATCTCCTAAGAGAGAACTCTGACTCTTCAGCATTGTAGCTGAAGCAAGGCAGGCTTTTCATCAAGATAATTTTCCATTTTTATAATTGACAGAATGTTTATAAAGAAAGCGTTAAAATTCAGACTTTTAAACTTCCTGAACTTCAATGTTTTTTTATTCTTCTTATTTCATCAAGAACAAAAGACCAAATTACACTCACTCTATTGTTATTGTCTCATCAGCTAACAGCCCCAGACTGAAATGTTTAAGACAAAAAAATATAATTTTTTTTTAATTTTCTGAAACTTTTTAGTACTTTGAACCAAATTCATAGTATTTATATTTTCAGTTATCCTTGCCACAATTTCAATTTCAAAATCTAAAGAACAAATATACATGAAATATACAGGATATTAATATACAGGAAAAAATATTGTTAAAACTTTCTACATACGTTTCTTACTTCTCCCAATTAATAACAGCCCTTGACTAAATACCTTCTGTAAGCTTATGCTGCTATTGTAATAAATTCTAAGTAATAAAAATAAATTGTTTCTAAGTGACCTGTGTTCTGGGAATAAATTAGAAGATGGATACTGTATACAGATGGTAAATACTGTACTTGGACTAGTTCAAATATGTTTGTACATTAATGATCCAAGGTAACAGCAGAAATAAATTACAAGACATAAACTTTTAACAGAACCTAATACCACCTTCAGCGTGGTCATTATGCTCTTCTCAGAGTTGTTTTGCTTCCAAAGTCTCACAGTCATAAAGAATAGAAGCAACCAACAAGTCTCTTGGTTTCAGCTAATCTTCATTTCAATACAAGACATATTTATGGTACATCTCAGCAGTGGTTTCACACACAGATCTTGTCTTAGAAAGAGTCACTGTATTTGCAGCTTGTTTCAATACTTGCCTTGACATCTGCTGCTGATACTACTCCACAGTTTTGGAAGAGGTGTTGAAAGGGAGCAAGATCTTATCTTCTGTATACAAAACTTTAAGTACAATGTGTGACTGTGTACCGACCCCTTGGCAATACTGAGGGGCTCAGGCCTTGCTCAGAGCTCCCCTTTGGGCTCAGTGGTTGCACTGTTGCCTCTGTACCAATGTTTCATACTGTTACTCCAGGTCTCCTATTTTCCTGCATCTGCTGGTCATTACAATGGAGATGCCCATGGATTTACTCCAGATGTTTGCTGATGAGGCTTTCTCTCATCCTTTTCCTGTTCCAACAGCAACAGCCAAATGAATATGAAAATCATAAAATTGATCAAGCACATGATCTAATTTTGAAGTTATTCTGGTTTTGAGCTAGTGGATGGGTTAGGTGGCACCCAGAAGTCCTTTTCGGCCTAAACATTCTTGTAGTTCTTTGATTCCATGGTGGCACCCAGTTCCTCCCTGACATCATTGTCCTCACTAAGTTCTGTCTCCAGCTCGTGCCATATCTGCTGAGAGAATTCTAAGCCAAAGGTAACCTCAATTGCCCCTTACAGTTCCTTCATTATTTGCTCAGCTGTGGCTGAGGCCTCAGGCACAACTTTTGACTTTTTCATTACCTGTTTCAGTATCTGACACAGCTGGAGATAGGTTCTTGGATTACCTAGAGCTTTGATCTGCTGCATCTTAATCATACACGCTACCCTATATAAACACCGGAACCACCTAAAAAATGCCCACTTTCTGTAACCATCAAGTTGGCAGCGGTTAAATTAATCTTGTCCTCAGGTAGATGCCTACCCTAGAATGCAGTAAATGGAATTCTAGCAGCTCCTGATTCTTTCTGTTGACTGTAAAGACAGTCTAGACATTATGTCTGCAACAGAAATGTCTAGGTTTAATAATCTGATTCCCATTCCTATTGTTTTAATTAACTCCAAATTTCATTAATGTATGTATGTGATATGAAGATTCTCATTGGATAAGCGTACATGTAAATGCTCTCTTATACACAACCAATTTCTAGATCTCTCTATGAATTAGATAGAAAGAGCTTAATGTATACATATAACTGGCAGTAATGCATCTGTCAAAAATTGGCATCTTCCGTCTTTTATTTTCAGTTTGTGTGTGGGAAGACAGGGAGAAAGCAGGGACAGAATTCAGATATAAGTTAACAAAAATGGAAGTTCATAAGCACCTAAGTAGAAAAATCTATTGTGGGCTGCATTGCTCTATGTATATTAAAACATGTGAGAACTCAGGCACCTGATGTGGAACAGTATTCTCTGCTAAGTACTTAAAGACAGTCATTTATTTTCCAAGGTACCAGTCTGTTACTAAGACTTGCGAATACGAAATTATTCTCCACTGTGTGAGGATGAAGAAGTACAAAGTGCAACAAAGGAGGGAAACACAATACTAAGAACACACATAGCAACAACATTCCAAACTGTTGCTAGACTGTTACCACGTCATTGACTGTAGCTTTTATATTGTAGTCTCCCTTTGTATTTGAAAGCAGGTATGCAGCTGACCAGAAGGGTGGCCTGAATGTGCATGTTCCTGCAGCAGCCATCCACAGATCTTCAAAAATGTCACTGAAAGCTAATATTCATATCTGGATTTTAATTCACCATCTGTAGCTATAATCATTCTTAGGGATACATTCCATGCTCAAAAAAAAAAAAAAAGGGCTCAGAAAAAAAAGGTGCATTTTTCTACAGAATATTTAATATGTAACAACTAAGATATGGTAAACTTTAGCATATTAGTCTTGGTAGGTTTGCATTTCACTTGTGTACTTAAGGTGAATCTCAAAGGGGGACAGGAGGAACAGATCAGAACATAATTGAAGACACACACCAGAACTTTACAGCATGTTTACTGTTCTGTAATAAACCACAATTTTGCCTTTATCTTAATAGGGCCAAA